TTATTACTTTTATCTACTGCTAATTATTTATATTCATATTTCTATATAAGTATTTACTAACTTTTGATCGATTCCACATAATCTTGAATATAGGAAGGCCTAAAGTCAGTCAGTATAAGTCACTTTTTTGTTGCAAATAATTTACACTTTTAGTGGAAAAGTATTTACATTGATTGGCTCTTTGAACCTCTTCATATAGTACTGAATCTTTTAAAGAGTTAATTGTCAATTCGTCCTTTTTGTCAGACACGAAATGATCCGATTCGATTTATTCGTTGCTACGCCAAGAATCGTCACGAACGCCGGCTGTCGCGCAAGCAGATTGCAAGCACCTGTCCACCAGAAAATATCTACCGCTGGATATTCACGACGAAGCTGCCACAGCAGAAGGTTTGTCAGCTGCTACCGCAGCTGAAAAGTAAGCGATCATCTTTGCTCGAGATGACGATATACAAATCAATGAGTTCACTTTCGATCTTTCGCATGGACCGTGCCTATTTCCCTCTCAAATTTCGTCACCTGGCTTCACGAGCCACAGATTTTTCAATCTTCCGATATCACTTTGCTAGCTTACATATTTTCTATGGATTATATTTCGTTGTTATACAGTCGAGCGAGCCCGTCATTGTTTCCTAGCTGGTATGTGTCCATGAAATAAATCAAGGGTAGTTTAAAGGGAGTCTATAAACCATCTGACATCTCGCCTTTGTTTCCATGTTAAAGTTCTAATTAGGAATTTATTCTCTATTTAATTCATATGATATACTTGCTCGACAGGTGCAAAACAAAGACTGAAACAGAAACAGGCGGAAGATTATGAAAATATGGATACAAAAAATAAACTTAACAAAAAAGATTACTTTATATTCTGCTTTATAATTTTTATAATCATGTTATATTGTCTAAAATCATTAATGGCATAATAATATATACATATATAGATTCCCGCTCTTAGAGCACTTTTTATTTTTAATATTCAGTAAGTACTTATTGTGGATAATGAAGTTTTTAAATCGCACGTGTATTTTGTAATACAACTGTTAATATATTAATATATTAATATACCAGTATCGAATTTAGTTTGAAACAAATGTAGTGCTTGTCCTAAAACTTTTTGCATGTATGCATGATATTACAAAATAAAAAATAAAACAAAAGTGTCGTGGCTAGATGGTATAATTTAAAATTCTTATTATTATGCGTAGGAAACACGATAATTTATTGTATACATGTAGTTTTCTTCTTAATTATTCTGCTTGTAACGAAATTCTTTTGTTAAAATTTAAGCTAAATCACAAAAACAAAATTCATGGATAATATAGGAATATTGCATTATTTTCAGAGGTACAACATTACATATAGATTACATGTATACATGATATAAAGTTATGTATGGCGCGTGGCAGCATCAAATATCCAAAATACCTTCTCAAAAATCCAACATTTTTTGCCGAGTGGTGGAACGTGCAGGTTGTGCGTGAGCTTTACGTTCAATTAGTTGGAAACTTCAATATTGTTCATAGAGTTTGAAGCATTTTATAGGCTTTACAGTAAACAACTTGCTGCAGTTCATAACGATGCCTAGATCATTTTGATATAAATAATATCAATCGATTAAAACTAAGCATGAATAAAGATTCGCAATCATTATTGAAAGATCATGAGGTAAGATAGAATACGCATCTGCTAGACATTCTAACTGTCCAAAGATGATAGTTGACAAGTTCAATTAACAGTAGCGATATACACAGATAGTTCCTTAATACAACAGGCAAAGAATGATTCCATACGAGAATAAGTCAGAAATATAAAATCAAGCTTTTCACGTTTATTATTTATAAGTTCAAAGCCTCTCTTTTATATTATTTCTCTATCTGTATTTATTATGTCGAATGATGAACACAGAACTTATCAATACGCAGCTTACCTTCTCTCTATCTTTTTCTCTCATTAACATATCTCGTCCCATTCTCCTCAAAAATAATTATATCGATAGTATCTCTGAAAAAGGTCAAAATTTTTTTAATTTCATGCTGCTTAATTACGAATGTGTACAACAGTAATTTAACCGCACATTTAAGTTGTGCATCCCTACCTGCAATGTGGAGACGCAATGGTGGGAGGCAGCCACGTGATCGACCGCGTGTTCAACAATACAGCTGCACTGTTGCTGTTCCCTCAATTCACGCTCAGCCTCCGTGGAAGTCAGGTCTGTGCTTTATTCACTTTTCACAATTGCAAAGTTCTTTAATTTATTAAAAAAAGTAAGACACAAATCGATCTCATTAACAAAATTCGTTAAACAACCTCGTTCCAAGTAACCAAACTTACGCCATAAACGTTTCTGACTGAATTGACTTCGCTTACGTATCGCAGAATCGATCGATCAATCGATCGGTCGAGGTAGTCGAATCGGACCGTAAACCATATCGTATCGCGATCGATAAAAGGTTTTATAATCCTGTATCCGGGTCGTGGACCGTGGAAATCAGATTTGCAGCGTCTCGTTCGAAAATAGAACAAGAAACTCTCTCAAGCCGGTATTCGTGATCGATGTGCACCTGCAAGGAATCGCGTGGGATGTTGTAAGCCCACTGCCGGCTAACGTCGCGGCTATTTCAACGTGAAACGTATCGAGAGGGAACGATAAGCGAAGGAGGATGCTTCCTGCTAGAAGATTAATCGTTGCCGTGTTTGGTGTTTGCTTGTTGACCGCTCTTCTAGAGGTAAGTAAGCAGTTGAGGTTATAAAGTGTACTTAAAGAGATACCATTG